TTACAATATGCATGGAGCTAGAGGGTATTATGCCTAGTGAAATAAGCCAGGTAGAGTAAGACAAGTACCAAATGATTTCAGTCATATGTGGAGTATAAGAACAAAGAAAACCTGAAGGAACAAAACAGCAGCAGAATCACAGAACCCAAGAGTGGACTAACAGTTACCAAAGGGAAAGGGACTGGGGAAGATGGGTGGGAAGGGAGGGATAAGGATGGGGAAAAACAGGGCATTACAATTAGCATGTATAGTGTTGGGGGAGGTTATGGGGAATGCTATACAACACAGAGAAGACAGGTGGTGATTGTACAGCATCTTGCTATGCTGATGGACAGTGAGTGTAGTGGGGTGGGTGGGGGGGACTTGATAATAGGGGGAGCCTAGTAAACACAAAAACCAGCACGAAAAAATAAAAAAAAAAAAGACAAACAGCAGATCCCACAGTGTCCCATCTGGGCTTTGATGACATCTCAGGCTTGGGTTTTTAAAAGCATTCATAGCTCTTAGTACATGACACCGTTTTTGTAAGCACTCTCATGTATTAACATCTGTATAGCGATCCTGCAAGGGGTACTGATGGTGCCATTTTACAGGTGAGGACTGTCCTCAGTGAAGAGCCACCAACCTGCACTCCTACCCCCTCCTGGGGACCCGTGACTTGGCCACATGGCCCACCTGTTGGCCAGCCCAGCACCAGGGCTCCCTGCAGCACTGGGCGAGCCCTTGGTGAGGACCTGGCCCCCCAGCCTCCCCTGCGCTCAGACATGGCTGCCCCAGCCCCACTGTCGGTCCCCAGAGCCCCTCTGGAAGACCTCCTGCTGCTGACGCCTGGCAGCCTTTTTCCCAAGGAAACAACCTGCCAACCCCATATCCCCCAGAGGCTCAGACTCCAGATCCCATCCTACTGCCCAAAACCGACTGGTTGGGCACTCTTCTGGAAGGACACTTTTTAGGTTGAGATTCTACCTCTTGGTGACTTCCCCCACAAGCTCCTAATGCTCAGAGGCCCCTGGAACCCCGTGCCATCCTTTCCCTGGGGCTGGTCCTCTACGGGAAGTGAGTCCACAGCTCCTGCTGCTATCCTTCCCACTGCGGCCAAGCTTGAAGTCTGCTTGCCGTCACTCTCGATGTCTCAGGATCTGGTGCCCCGGGGCATCTGCCTGTGCTGCGCCTCTGCTTGGAACCACCATCGCCTGCTTGCCGGTCACTTCCCATCAGACCCCCCAACTCCACCACATTGCTGAAGCACTCTGCACCCCTGGTCCGGTGCTCAGGCTGTGTGAATACGACATTAGCACTTGCTTCCCACCCTGCAAGCCCCTTGGGGACAGGGCCTGGCCCCTTTCTGCTCACCATACATTCCACTTGGATGCTCTCTGGCTGGGAGCCACAAGCCAAGTGGGATAGCCATTTACTCAACAAGTACTGCGGGCCAGGCTCTGTGTTACGTGCTGTGGATATGAGACACCTGTATGGCTATGTGGACACATGCCCCTCCCCACTTTCAGGCACACTCTTTTACCATGCAGCCCAAGACAACATCTTTTTTCATTCCTACTCACCTGGTTTCTCACCATCACCCTTGGTCCAGGATAATAGGGTTGATGCCGCTTCCCCAGCAAACACTGCCAGCCACTGCAGCAGAAGGGAGGTGGAGAGCTTAGGAGCACACACCAGTCCTCCGAGATGCTGCCCAGAAACTACACCATTTCTTCCTTGTTAAAATGCAAGTGTATCTGATCCATTCAGCGGTTATTGCCCCATTCCTGAGTGTCTAGTGGGCATACCTGGCAACTGTCAGGATCCCTTCTTCAACTCTGATCCACTGGGTGAGGACTCCAACAGTTGAAGAGCTATGGGTGTGCTCCTGAACTTCACTTCCCTACAGAGAATGGAAACAAGAGGCAAAACTGTATCCCTGGGGACTTCAAAGATAAATGTCCTCAGACTTGAAAGCAGTACAGAACAAGCTCTCACATTTCCGAGTAACTCACCTGTCGGAACAGTGCTGTCTTGGGACTCGAAGGGAAAACAGCCTCAGCAGGGGCCATCAGAGAGACAGCATCTTGACTGGAGTGAATTGCCCAGCCCAGCACTAGTGCGCAGCCACCGACCTGGCTCATAGTCTTTCCCTCCAATCTGTAAGGTCCACTGATGTGGACCACCTTACCCAGCACCAACAACAACGTGCTTCACAGGAAAACCCCAGGGCTGCACTGCTTGTGTTCTGCTACAGCAGTCTACAGACAGACTGACATTTTGCTGACTGGATCTGATAAGCAGGAAGCAGCAAATGCTACAGATTACACTGATTCATGGGGAGTTACCGACAGCTTGAGAAGATGGTCAAGGACTTGGAACAGGATTGAAAGTGAGTGACAAGATCTGCTTAGGGACAGACCCCTCAAAATGGACATACTGTGAAGATCTGTGTCCACACATGCCCACCACCTCTACAAAGGATGCTCTTAATGACGGGGAACAAAAGTGCACATCTGGTGCATGTCAGCATCCCTGCTTGTCAGACCCATGAACTAAACAGCCATCAAGACAAGTGGAAGCTAAAATAGGCTCACCGTCAGACTTGCCTTGACCAAAGCCCCCAGGTTAACTATGGCTCAGTGCCTAACAACAGAGTCCAGCGCTGAATCCTGGAATGGCACTTCCTAAGACCAGCTAGCCACCTCGTGGCAGGGTGACTGCACTGGGCCTCTCTGTGATAGAGAGAACAGAGACTTGTCTTCACTGGAATTAACCCTTATTCTGGGTATGATTTGCTTGCCCTGCCTGCCACGACCACCACCACCACCACCACCAGCCACCGTCATGATGTTCCACATAGCCTTGCTTCTGATCAGGAAACCCAATTCACAGCAGAGGACACCCACAAGCAGCGGGCTCGTACCTGCAGACTGCCTGTTCTTACTGCACCACCCACCACCTGGAAGCAGGTGGGCTTACTGAAGACTTGCTTGTGGTGAAGGGATAGGGCTGTCTTCCAGGAACTGGGGACATTAAATGGTGCTGACTCTGCACAGCCAGCACCTCCAGGTCTGAGGATTGGCACTTTTTAGTATTATACTTAACTCAATTGCCAACTTTTCGTAGTCCTGTCCTGAAAACCGGGCTTTGCCAGTTGGAGATCTTAGACCCCAAGAAGGGAGCTCCCCCAGGACACCACATGGGTTCTATTAAAGCTGAAGGGCTGGCTGCACTGCGGTACAGGACTAGGCCTGGAACCCATAAGGATTCTCTGGCGCCTCTTGGTGTTTCCATGAAGGGCTGTGAAGGATCTTGCGACCATAGGGACAGGAACAGACACTTCAGAAAGGAAGGCCTGGGTTGGCCTGGTGAAGAGCAGCTAAGGGCAGTTCCCAGGGCAGGCGAGTGGCAGCAGGAAGTCTGTGCCATCAGAGAACCAAGGGCCGTGCTCGTCTTGCTCGCTTGCAGACGCTGCAGTCATCACCTGGAGCCCTCACTACAAATGCACCTCCCAGGCCCTGTGATATACCGTAGCAGGAGTTCCTGCATTTAAAGCCTCTCAGGGATCTCCTATGACATCAGACCAAAAGCCCATAGTTGTCCTGAATCCCAGATACATCACTATCCTGCCCGAGAGAGGAAGCAGCTGAAAGCAGCAGGGGGCCACTCATGAAAAAATTAGGAAATGCAGGGCACATGGCCGCCCACCGCGCCAGCACAAACCCCAACTGCAGCTCCAGCTGCTGAACTCGGGGCTTCCGTCTCAGCAAGGCCTGCCCTGGATGGCGTCCACGGGCCGGCGTCTCACCCTCTGCTCCATCTCACTGTGGCTGCCACAAGTAAAGGCAGAGCCAGCTGACTTTCAGGACAAAATGCAACTTTATTATGAGAGGAAAGACTACAAGCCAATAAGAGGGGAAAGAGACGAACAGTTCCTCAAAATGACAGGTAAGGGGAGGTGTGAACATCTTAATAGTAAAACTCACAGCACAGTCACTGGAATTTTTTCCTTACAACTTTTGTTTTCAAAGTTATAGTAAATCAAACAGCCACATGAACTGTCAGAACAGCTACTTTATCCCATGAAAGCAAAAGCACCGAGCCCAACTAGCGCCACTGTGGGGGCAGGTGCTGCGGGAGGCCTGGCGCAGAGGCCGCAGCCCCACAGGTGCCCCTCTCCTGGGAACACCATTCAGCCATCAAAAGGCGGGCAGCCCTGTCCACTGTTCACGGGGACTGCTGAGATGACAGCCAGCATCTCAGAAATACAGGTTGTTTTCATTAAGCTGGGGATGTGGAGGGGGTCACCAATGACTCATCAGTGGTCAGATGCACTTGGTAATAGACTTAACACCAAGAGAGCCTTTTTCCTGAATTTGGTAACTGGATAGGGAGCCCAAAGAAACGAAATTCCCAAACCCATGTACTCTTTTGTTTCTAACAAGGCAAATCAAATGTGTACAACGGTGCAGGTGGCTGGGCAAAGGGGCTGGAGCTGGCAACAGAGAGCTACATGCTCAGAACACCAGTGCCAAAGAAACAGAATGAACATGGGTGCAGAAGTTTAAAATAACGTCTACAGAAGAAAAACATGGCCTCAATGTTCTTCCAACCCTAGCGTTCTTGTGTAGCTGAGCCTCTGAACACCAGCAGAGATGGGAAGGGGTGCAAGGGAGGACACAGGTGTGGGGACGCAGGGCTGGCCAGGCCAGAGGTCATCTGCCAGAAAACCCCAGACCAATGCGTTCACTCTGTCCCCGGTGCATCTAGGACGTGCCAGGAGAGCAGGGAGGCTGTGAGGTAGCACATGGCAGGAAGGGACTTCAGTGGCTCAGAAAGCTACAGGCCAATGTCAGCTGATTCTCCTTTCCACAGATTTGTTCCTTTTTGAAAAACAACACCTCTCCCAAAAAGAACCCTTCATAGCACAGTCACACACAGAACTCAGGCTCATGGGGCTATTTCTGAAGATCTGTACCCATCCACACTTCTCTGGTAACACCTGCTATTTTAAAACATGTTTTCTTTAAATACAGAAACATAACTGAGCATCAGCCGGGCAAGTGCCTGGACAGCCCCGCCACCAAGGAGCGTGTCGTGTCATGTCACACACGGTGCCTCTGCAGCACGGCTCTGCTTTACAGTGCTTCATGCACCTAATGCCTTCCACACCTCGCAGCATCTCCTTAGCCCCTGCTGTCCCTGCCCCCAAGCCCTGACTTAACCAGTTATCAAGCCAGACCCCGCCCTACCTAGGTGTCTGTGCACGGCCTGTCAGCTAAGAATAGTTCACACATTTTTAAAGAGCAAAAAAAAATATAAAAGAGCCTAATATATTGAAATTCAAATTTAAGTCACCATAAAGTTTTATTAGAACACAGCCCCGCTCATTTGTGTGAATTATCTGCGGCTGTGGCTGAGACCATTTGGCTCTTTGAAAACCACATGCTGGCCCATAAATTGAATGATTCCATTCTTCTCCAGGAACAAAAATTCCACAGGCTGCACTCCCAGGACAAGCATTGCTTTTTGCACAAACTATTAAAGCAGCTTTTCCTCCCCCATGTCTCTGGGTTCTGATTTCTCAGAAACGGATAAACAGTCTAAGTTTGGGTTTGAATATAGACACATGCAAGGTATCTTACAAGAACAACGCCCAGCGTTCCAGCTCCTCCACAAGGACTGAGGCCACACAAGGGAAGCAGAGGCCCTCGGCCATGAAATGCAGTCTCCACAGAAGCCACCCCAGCTTCTACCCACACCACCCAGCAGCTGCTGGGATGGCCGGTGGGATGGTGGCCAGGAAGAACACGAGGAGAACAATGGAACCACCAGATGATTCATTTCGTCAAAACATCAACAGGAGAGAGACAGGCAGATTCAGCTCTGCAGCATCCGCCAGTTTAACCAGGACATGGATGCACACTGGGGGTGGGGGGAGGGGAGCGATGACAGCACCACACTGAAAAGCAAAACTCACTCTTGGGAGCAAAGGAAAAACTATCTACATTTCAGTATAAACTCAGTAATTCATTCACATTACTACCAGTACATTTATGAAATTCACCATTTGTGGAAAAAGAGAGAATGGGTGGGGGATAAGAAAATGCCTATTTCTAGAAAACCGAGAGAGGTGACGCTTCCGCATGCAGCTCGATGCTAAGTTATCTGCAGAACAGACGTGCCTGGAAGCCCAGTTAGTGTATTCAGTCCCGTGGGCTCTGGGAGGCCCTTCTTACAGCACAGAGGCTGAGCTTCACACTTAGGTACACAGACGCGTGCAAAGTCCTTATCCCATACACTGCCACCTTCACTTTACTGCTTTAATGGATCCATGCTTTTTAAATGGGCTGGCGCCCTTTTAAACTCTGCAGCTGTGCAGCGGAATGAAGCGCCTGGGCAGGGCCGCCCCACGCCCCCATTGCCCACAGGAGGGGCCCAGGAGTCGTGCTGGTAGCGTGTCTCCTCTGCCCCCAAGGGCATGCCCGTCGTTCCACTTTTCTGTTTGCAGCCACCAGAGCCATCCTGGACCGTGCCTGCCATACCCACGGCGATGCCAGGCACTGGCTGCGGCCCCACCTCGGGCCAACGCTCTTCTGTGTGGGCGGTGTGGTCATGACATCGGGGGCTGGAGTCGTTCGGAGACGGAGGCCGAAGCGCCACCTTGACTTCTCCCGACCAGCTGCAGATAAGGCTACTCGTATTCCAGGAACTGTTTGTGGTAGAACAGCAGGTACCTGAGGACAGAGAGCGTGCTTACACACTGATCACGGGAGGCTGAAGCAACACCGGCCTCCCCAGCCAGAACCACTGCACCAAGGCCTCAGCGCACAGCTGCAGTCTGATATGTCAGCTGGGTGTTTGGGGTTCTCAGGCCCCAAGGAGGGTCCTCAACAGGGTAGTGGCAGTGCCCCCGCCTAAGGCCCCCGCATACCAGAAAGCTCAGCCCTCGCACCCGGCTGCTCCCACCTATGACTGCTGCGTCCTTTGCGTTAGAGCTATTTTGCTAAGTTTCCAGCACTGGATTCCAGTCTAAATCCACCCTTCCCACTGCCACAGGCTGTCCTCTCAAACGCAACCCTCTCACACGGACCCGAGGGGCCCCCCATGGCCGGGCTCACGGCAGCTCGTCACTGGAGCCAGGAATCCGACAGATGGTCTCACAGCGAGGCCTCAGTGAAGCTAAAGGATAACGATGAGACGGGAAGGAGCAAAGCAGGTGCAGGGGGGCTGCCATGGAAGCAGGGTGCCGACTCCCATGATCAAGTGAGCGGCCACCAGCATGACCACCTCAGGGTGCCAGGCCGGGGATGCCCTCCTATCCAGTGAGCAACTGAGGCTGGTGTCCTGTCCAGAACAAGCCTCATCACTTCGACAAAAGAAGCGAACAGCCTTGAACAGTCCTAAGCACAGCCGTGCCTTGGGCTCTGCTGCCCACGCGGAGAAACCGGCTGCCGGCTTGACGTACCCCTCACTGTCCAGCACATCCTCGATGCTGGCCTTGGTGATGATGGCGTCGTCACACTTGAACCACTGGTCCTTGTGCTGCCGGATGAAGCTGGTGTAGTGGCCACTCTCCAGGGTGCCTTGGTGGTTGACTACTGCAAACAGGGAGTATCTGGTCCGGGAGGAAAGGGTAGATGGAGCAGTTAATTTACCACCACCAGAAACCAGTGAGAAGCCTGCATAGTAAGGGGTAAGCCCACTGACCCCAAATGGTGACATCCCAGGGTTCATAGGTGAAGGGGGGGAAGAAAGGGCCTGCCTGGCCCCCACTCAGCTCTCTGCATCGGGAGACAAGGGGCCACTCTCCCCTTTGGTTCTTTCTACCACACCAAGGGTAAGGAGGACAATGACGGCAAGGTCAGGGGCCCAGAGGCCCAGAATTCAGACACTGAGCTTCCACTCTAGGACTGCAATGGCCAGGCTGACCTGGGTCAGGGGTCAGGACAGAGCGTTTAGGGTGCAGGTGAAAAGCCCCCTACTAACGGGAGTCTCAAGTATTTTCAACAAGGGCCATGGGGCAGCATGACAGAAGGCCAGGGGCCAGACACAGGAGCTGTGTCACCGCCACACACAGATGGAGTCACCTCCCCGGGACACACCGGCAGGCTGCCCCCATCCCACACTGCACCCCCACCCAGAGAGGTCTGTGCACACCCACAAGCCACCACTTACTTATTATCATTACTGAGACTATCTGGTGGCTGCTGGTACTGCCCATTCATTCTGCTCTCTTTGCTGTAACAAACAACAAACTCAGCATCTTGTAAAATCATTAACCAAAGAGCACGGCTTGAAAGAGAATACCAGTATTCCTGGGGGCCCACCACACCAGACGCCACACTGGGGCCCCACAATGCTTTCCAGTTCTTCCAGCCACTCTGCCTTCCAGGAGGTCACTCCCGTGCTACGGTGGGGAGCCGAGGCTCAGGCTGGCAAAGTGAACCATGCAGGGCATACCTCCTGCAAGGTGCAGAGCCAGAGCTGGCCCAGACCTCCCAGCTACACCTCCCAACAGGGACTGGAGCGGCCCCCTGAGGAAGCACTGCCCTGCCAATGCCTGTTGCTTTTGGCCACCAGCTTGTGGTCACCTGCAGAGTGGCCCAGGGAGCCAGTATGTGTGTGCTCTATAAGTTTGTGTCATGGTTATTTCCGAGGGCAAATTTTAAGTGGTCTATGATATAAAGATCTGAAACTACAGAGGTGGAATCTGTAACTGAAAACCCAAGCATGTTTTATCTGTATCCAAAAGGCACCACCAGCTGAAGCACAGCAGCCTCCTCACTGTGGTCCTACCTTGATGACTGCTACAGGGAAACCCAAAGCTAGGACAGCGGATGGGGAGCAGCTCAAACTGAAGTGTGTCTTGGGTTAAGATGAGGATAGTGACTCAGTCTCAGCAGCTGTGGCTACAGCCACCTCATCAGGGACCCAGTGCCATCACTGACCACTGGAGCCACAGCCCTCCCGACACAGAGCTGAACAAACCCCCCCATACCTGGATGCCATGAAGGGGGTCATGTCCAGCTCCAGGGGGAAGGACACATACGTGGTAATCTTCCGCCTCAGCTTGGCTGAGTGTTCAAATCGCTACAGGGGAAGAGGAGAGAGGGGAGGAGGGAAGCTGTGGGCTCCCCCATAGTGCTTGCCTGCACTTCCCAAAGAGGTCTTTTCGTTCACTCTGAATTGATTTTTGGCCACGTCCAGGCTTTCAGATTCAGTAACAGTACCAATCCATGTAAATTTAAGTGATGAGGTTGAAGTCAAGTCTTCAAATTACGTGATTATTCAAAGTGATAAACACCAAGTGTACAAAGAAGTCACCTCACAACAAACCCAGCAAAGTGCAAGGTGGCAGATAACAGAATGAACATCCGTAGCATCTAGGAGCAAAAATGTACATATGGTTCCCTTCACCAGACAAAAGACACTCCTTTGACTAAACCAGGGGCCACCAAACTCAGCCAGCCAGCCAGGGATGGTTGGTTCGGGTTTGTTTGTTTGTTGTTGGTATTTTTTCACATTTTTAAAGGGGCATAAATGGAACAAAAATATGAAACAGAGATTGTATGTGGCTGGAAAGCCTAAATATTTACTATCTGACCCTTTACAGAAAGAGCTTGACGATCCTGGGACTAGATTATCATGTTAAGGGTTTGTTTTTAGGTAAAAAGAAAGCAGGTGATGTGACGTGGGGAGGATGGGGGAGCTCGGCAGGAGCAGCAAACTTCCCGCCCCCAGCAGAACTTCTGCACCTGTCACTCTAAGTGATGACGTGGCTCCCACGACAAACCTCTGCAGTAACAGGGGGCGCAGAGCTGAGACTCGCCACCTGCCTTGCCTCAGCTGAGTCACCGCGTCACAGAACGCTTCTGGACACCCACCAGCAGGCTCTAAGTTGGCCTGGGGACTGAACACTGAGTCAGTCACAGGAGTTTGTTTCCTGGAAAACTTACTTTGAGATGAAAACAGGCCACAATGGGCAGTTTCTTCATGGTCAGCTGTTTAGTGGACTCCTGGTAGCTATGGCAACCACTGCACTTGATCTTGGCACTGCTTCCTAAGTGCTCCGGTCTGGTGAATCTACGATTTAGAAAACATGTTTTTAGGAAGAAAATGGCAGGGGTAAAGGAAAGAAAAGAGTTAACTTTATCACTTTTAACAGGTCAATTTTCCTACAAAACCACACAATTTCTTCATCTTTTCATTTTAGCACTTTAATAAAAAATTTTTCAATGAAATCTGATGAAACAGTAATTTTCTAACTACCATAAGACCCAGCAATCGAATTTGTCCCAGAAAATGAAAAGTGCATTCATACTAAAACTGTGCACGAATGTTTTTTAGCAGCTTTATTCCTAATAGCCCCAAACTGGACACAACCCAGATGTCCTTCACTGGGTAAATGATTGAACAAGCTGTGATATACAACACACGGAATACTAGTCAGTGATAAAAAGGAACTATTGGTATACGCAACCTGGATGAACCTCCAGAGGATGATGATGAATGAAAAAAGCCAGTCTTGAATGGTAACATGTTATATGATTCCATTTGCATAACATTATCAAAATGTGCAATTTGCAGAGGTGGACACCAGATCCCCCTGTCAGGGCTTAAGGAGGCAGTAGTGGTGGGAGGGCAGAGGTGTGGCTGTGAGGGATCCTGGTGATGCAAATGCCCTGCATATCGTCAATATCCTGGTGGCTGTGTTCCATATCCTGGTTGTGATATGGAAAGAAAATTTTGTAAGATGTTCCCACAGGGGAAAACTGGGTTTTTAAAAACTACATGGGACCTCTCTGCATTTGCAATTTCATACATGAACGGGATACTACAATTATCTCAAAATAACAAGACTAATTTAAAAAAAAATAGAGAGAGACGTTTGGAGAGATGGTGATTCTCCACTGATGAAGCTCCATTACAAGACAGAATGGCCGCGCTGGGTAAGCCAGCAAGCATTTCTGGCACAGTCGCAGCTACCAAAGATAAAACCCGTAAAGCAGATGTTTCCACACAGTTCATGCCGGATTTTTAAAGCTTAAAGCTGAAAAACAAACAGAAAATTCAATCTTCACAATGGGGTTTGGACATCCTGGCTTATCCTTAGGAACCATCTTCTAAGCAGGGCCAGACAACGGCCTCTGAACAGAGCTGGCCCAGCCTTGCCTGAGAGGCTCCCAGAAGCGAAGTGTGAGAACAGGTAGGCCTGGTCGGGGAGGCAGTCGGGGGCGAGGCATCTGGAGCCGGCTCACTATGACCTGCAGGACTAGCCCACAAATGCGATCAGCAAAATCCAAGTGTGGGAAATTCTCCGGACAAATGACCCTGTCTTTTCAACACAGAAATGGCAAGAAAGAAAAGCACAGACTTACAAGACCAACCAAGCAAACTTAACATGTGGACCTAGTTTGGATCCTGACTTGAACTAATTGTAAAAAAATAGCTTCTAAAAAATAGAGGCAGTTTGAACACTGACTGGACACCTGATTGGAGAAGAATGTGTCCCTGTTACACTGTACATAATCTGACTTTCCAGCTCAAACAGTTGTGCCCCAACCACACTCCTCAGGACACCAAGAACCACAGCTGCTCCTCCAACTTCTTGGCCAGCTTCCTCCGTCAGTCAGCCACCACAAGAGCAGGGACAAGTACTTGGACATGTGTCACTGTGGGGCAGAGAGGACAGGGCACAGCAAGCCCTTGCTTTTAGAAGAAGTCCAATGCCAACCCACAGCTAAAATCAGGCAGAGGACTCCACCTGGCTCTCCAGGATGCGGAGCGCTAAGCAGGTGTGACAGATACCACACACTCCCTTGCCACAACCTGGCTACACGAACGCTTCCTTTAAGGAGCCCATGGGCACACCGACGACTCAGAGGCTTCCATGACAAATGCAGAGTGCTGTGGCAAGCCAAGCTGGACTTGGGGTGTGAGCATCCCAATAATCCTCAAAGCTTGGCTCACATGCTTCACGTCAATTATATTCACTTTGCTATTATCAATTAAGCAACTGATCAATAAGCACACTGCTTTTCATGACAATATTTAAAAATATTTTTTAAAATTTACACCAGTGCAGTGTAAAATGCTCAAAGTAACCTTCTAATGTTTTCTCACTTTTTATTCTTCTGGAAGTTTCTGATCATTTGTTATTTTCCTTCCCGTGTGTAGTGCCTGCATGTTCAACTACAACAGCTTCCAGAACCCATCTCTGCCAAACTATGCCACCTTCCTACCAGCAGAATGTCAACCAAACCTGCTTCAGTGCTGCTGGACATGAGAATCTGACTTCAAATTCGCGTAATTATAAATAAAACAATTATGGTAGGAAGAGGGCACCCAACCCATATGCCTTCTCAAATATCTATCAACGCCTCCCTCCCCTCCCCTTTGGAGAACCCTAAGCCTGGGAGGAGGCAGGGCCCACCTTCCCTTTATGGAGTTCACCACAAAAGCCAGGTATTTGCTGTCCCGCCCACCAGCAGCGAGGGCAGGAGCTGGCAGCCTGCTATCTCTGAACCAGGACTCTGCATCTGGACAATCATTCTGCGGAAGCAGCCAGGGGAAATACCTGTCCTGCAGAACAGCAGCTTAACGGCACCGGGGCAGGGAGCCCAGCGGCAGGCTGCGAGCTTCCAGACATCGGTCACCAAGCCTCTTGTGGTTACTGCCTGTCTGCTGAGCAGGGTTCTCCTTCCCCTTCCTGGGGACTCTATATACCACCCCGTATCCCTTCCTGCTTAAGGTCACCAGAGTCAGTTTCTGCCATTTGCAACCTTATAAGGCCTCTCACCCAGAAAATGCAGGCAGTGCTCAATGTCGTCACCATGCCCAGGGCTACAGGGGAACCCAAAGACAGCTGGAGACACTCTCCTCCCCTGAAGGGGTTGCCCTCCCATCCAGATTGAGACCACAGGGCTAAAAAAGCAGCACAAAGCTATTGCCAAGTTCAGGTGCACCACGGGGCCGGTACAGAAAGGACCATGGAAACCCCAGGAAGCAGCCAGCTTTGCCAAATGGTGCCACAGGCCTGGAAAAGTTCCCATGGTCCCACTGAGTCCACCTCCTCCAGGAACAGTTCCAAGGGCACAGTGTGAGCACTCCTGCAAGGAGGCCACCATGGGGCGACGGCCACTGAGCCACCCCACAGTGCTCACCGCATCAAACACTAACTCAGTCTATAGCTACAAAATCACATGTACCTCAAGTTCCTCCCATCAGCTTTGTAATCTATGCTCAGTATAACTTGAAACCAACCCTTTGCTGTTAATAAAAGCTGGACACAAACACACTCCACCTTTTCTCAGCCACTTGGGTGCTGACTCAGCACACCAGTCCATACCACAGGACTATGCATTTCAGTTTGCCAAGCGAGGTTTCTCCCTCATTGCTTGCTCTGTGGCCAAAGTTTCAAGTTAACTGAAATTTAGAACTAAATCTAATTTACTTGATGACTAGGATTTTATTTTTGTTTCTTGTTTTGGTTTTATTTGCTTGTTTTCCAAATTAAAAATTTGGTACCCCATTTATATGTGGACCTACCAGTGTAACAAAAGATGGTCCTTTTTAAAATTCTAAACATGAACTTTTGGGCCTGCTGACTATGCATCAAGATAAAACCCAGAACAATCATCCCCCCCTGTAAGTGCAGAACACCACAAGTATGTTTCCATCCCCCTTAGAGGAGGCCGGGCCAAGGCGGGAGGGGCCGCTCTTCTTGGCTGGAACCCAAAGCAAATTATTAGCCACAGAGGGAATGAAGCTTTTTCTGCCCTTTGGCCCTCCATTAACTCATACAGGCAGCAGGGTGGAATAGCAGCGGCAATGCAGACACCCTACAATGCAAAGCCAGGTGGACAGACATTTCCCATCATCATGCAAAAATGTGAGAAACCATTATGAGCCCGAGTGCCCACTGCACCCCAGCTGTAGGCTGACCTGTCTTTTCTCTGTTCTATATGGAACTTGTGAAAGGAAACACTATCAGGGCCCTGAGTTTATTAGGACTTCACTCAGATCAGTAACTTCTCTGAACAGCCCCAAGGCAGGGAGAGACCCTCTCTTTCTTGAAACTGCCAGCAGGTTTCTTACCTTCGCAAGCAGTCGGTGAGAGTGGTGGTTCCCGACATGTGGCTTTCCCCATTCACCACACTGCCCTCGCTTCCGGGACTCAGGGGCCAGAACGGGGTAGAAGAGCCAGGCAGGTCAAGGCTGATGTCCCAAAAGGGGTCAATGGTGGTGGAGACACCACTGGAAGCAAAGGGAGATGGACACACGTGAGCCTGACAGCCCTGGGGAGCCCCAGAGCAGCTGATGCCAGAGCAGATCTCAACCTCCTTTCACAGCTCTGCCATTTTAGTCAAATACATGGAAGGTCAGAAAAAGCAGATGTGTTCTCACACCCTGCACATCCCGGGCTCCCAAGTTGGCCCCAGGGAGGGACAGTGTGTATACCACTAAGGTAAAGGCTGGTCCTAAAGCATGTTTCCCAATCCGAAAGGCCATCACAGTCACTCTGGAAATTTTTGAAAAATATAAACTCCTGGGCCCCACATCCAAAGACTTTGAACTGACAGCAGAGCATCTGAGAGCTACAGATTCTTTGCCTGGGGCTGGAAACTGCCAGCCTAGTGGTCCTGCAGTCCCAAGCACACCTTGCACAAGAGCGCACACTGGCTGGCCTGGCGTAAGCTCAATGGCATTCAGTGTTCTGTTTAGCAAAGCAATTCCTTCCTGGAGACTTATTTTACAACACACAAAAAGGAAACTCAGATTGGGCAGTTTACTACAGGTATTTAAATAGGACATAAATGAGAGACAACCTCCTGTTAATGGAATTCAGTAGTATGAGGCCAAACCATGGGTCTAAACACGGCTGGGAGCGATAGCCATGAGGATGTGGGTGACAACAGAACAGCAGGTGACAATCCATTATAAGCTCTGAAATAACCTTAGTTGATCAAGGCCAGGGTTTTCAAGAAACATAAGTGGAACAGAAGACACCACAGGGCACTGAGATTGAATGGGTCTTCCTGAAAGTAAGAGGCCTTGAGCTCTGAGCAGAGACAACACACGTAAGTAGTTAGGGATACTACTTTGGAGAAAATGGAAAAGGAGACTGTAAAATAATTAAAACCGACACTTTGGAACTTGTATGTCACATATGTGCCTTATGTGGGTGAGACGTTTCCGATGGGGGCTCTTAGTTGGCTCCTGATGTCGGGACCCTCAGGAAAGCAGAGGTGGGGGGAAGACTCCAAAGTACAGGTTGCAGGGTGTGCACAGTGACAAGACGGCCCCAGTACACAGGGTTGCCCCTGGGTACTCCTGCCCGGATGCCCTCCAGCCCGGGTCTTCCTGCCGAGCTATTCCACTCAACACAAGCTTGCGCACGGCTACTGAAGATTCTGCTTCTCCTGATTGCTGCTGCAGGTGCTCTGGTGTGTGAGTCACACCACCTTCTGGCTCCCTCATCACCAAAAACGCTCAACTGGGGTGGCAGCAGCTAAATAAACTCCAGGCCCCAGGCCTATAAAGACTTTAAGAACATCCCAGAACACAAGCCTCACTGCCTGAGCCTGATGCTCCATAGGCAGCAGCCACAGCGGCTTCAGCCACCCCCACAGCAATCAGCACCCCGCGGGCACTTACTGGCAGACCTGACAGGTGACGTCCGACTGCAGGCCGCCTGTGAAGATCTGGTCGATGATACAGTTGCAGTGGTTGGGATTGCTGGCTTTCTTCCCATTGTCGTCGCCTGCGGAGAGACCACAGCGGTGATGCTCTAGGCACCCCGAGGTCAGCAGTCCCCCACAAAGGCGCAGCGGAGCCAAGTGCCCATGTGCTCCCACGGCCAGGAGACGCGAGGACCAACGGGACGACCCTGCAGCTTCTTCTGACTTTTGTCTTTTTCTCATGCCCCAGATCTGCTCAGGCTCTTTCTTGGCACCAAAATATATCTGATGCCCAGAAACTGGGGAGTTACAGACCCCTTTTCAAGGATGGAACAACTGAAGACACAGTTCCAGTGAGGAGGCCTGACAACCCCGGGGAAGCCCTCCTACCTCAGGACTAGATGGGAACATGCCCCTGCGTCGGAGCAACATCATGGCAGGACCCCTGCTGCTGGTCTTTCTCACCTGCTCCTGCATTTGGGAGTAGCTAAGTCCCATCCCTGGCTGCCTAGTCCATAGGCAGTTCATTTATGTACCTCTGTGTAGGCGTACAGACATAAAACCACACGGTGGCCACAACACATTATACACCTCATTCCACATCCTACATAATGCTCATTAAACTAGACAAAAGGGATGCCATCCATATATATTACATACCAGAAAAGTCAGATTATGGCTACTGGATCTTCTAACAGTGGTTGCCTAGAGAGAGTGGGCGGAAATGCTACCAGAAGCGCTTCTAATTCATGGGATACAATGCTAGGATGTGGATGAACACAGAAAGATGTAAAGAAAAAGCAGCTGAAAGATACCTGATGATAGCAGCTTCATGAAACAACACTCAACCAAGTGCATGGTAGGCCTGGCTGCACGCCTCCCCATGTGCTCTGGACTACCAACCCACGGGTCCCAATTCTGCTGACTGCTTCTAACGGGAGGGGCCTTCCATTTCTTCTCAGACATTTCAAATGGATCATCAGAGTAGATCACAACACTTCCATCATTTTGGTCATACAAACATTTAACAGAAATGCATTTTCAAACAGTTGATTTTTATAACACATTCATGCTTACGACAGACGTCTCTTAATTATTCTCAAGTGCTGGGAGTAACAGATCAGTAATCCTTCACAGTGCTTCTCTTCTGTGTGTTACACTTTATACTAGGAAACCAAACCTTAGCCAAACTATTAAGCAATGTTTATTTCGTTCCCAGGGAAAATATTAAAAGGATCATGTGTATTTTTTCAGGAGAAAAAACTGAAGTACAAATAAAAGCTAGGATCCAAAGCGTGACAGCCGATCCCAGTAAGCCTGTTTTGAGGCTGGCCTGTCTCTGAGCTGTGATTCCAGAATGCACAGGGCACCACACAGCAGCCCAGCACCAGGCCACTAAGGAGCAGCAGGAGCCATGCCACAGCCGCACCAAGCAGGACGCTACTCTCCATGAGGGTGACCCCAGTGAACTGTCACCCACAGCCACCTGCACTGGGGAGGTCACAGGTGATCGTGTGACTGCCAGCAGCACAAGTTGGTAACAGTCGAGACTGTACTATGTGAACAAGTGGAGACCCACTAGGAACAAAGCGTCCCCTGAACTTACCCCAGACCCAGCAAGGAAACACCAGAGAGCTCTCAGGTGGCTCTGACCCATGCTCAAGCTTGAGAATCACCATTCAGCTGATGCCTGTGATGGTGCAGTTCAAACTGGAAGCCCGCAGTGCAAGGGTGGAAAAGAAACCACACTCGCTGTTATGCAGGCCTCATCTCCAGCCCCAAGAGCTGCTGCGTGCTGCACCACCCCACCCCCAAACCAACAAAACCTGTATGTATCTGGGTATCCCACTGAGGCCACCACCCCTTGGGCCAGGTGGTGGGACTATATTATGGGAGAAGCCAAGTTCCAGTGAAATCCTAAGAGACACTTTAAAACAAAAGGCCCGATCTCAGGGCCAAGATGGCAACATGAGTAAAGCAGCAGAAATCTCCTCCCAAAACCATATTTATCTATGAAAATATAACAAAGACAACTCTTCCTAAAATAAAGACCAGAGGACACAGGACAACATCCAGACCACATCCACACCTGTGAGAACATGAGGCCACCACCCCTTGGGCCAGGTGGTGGGACTATATTATGGGAGAAGCCAAGTTCCAGTGAAATCCTAAGAGACACTTTAAAACAAAAGGCCCGATCTCAGGGCCAAGATGGCAACATGAGTAAAGCAGCAGAAATCTCCTCCCAAAACCATATTTATCTATGAAAATATAACAAAGACAACTCTTCCTAAAATAAAGACCAGAGGACACAGGACAACATCCAGACCACATCCACACCTGTGAGAACCCAGGGCCTCGCGAAGGGGGTAAGATACAAGCCCCGGCCTGGCGGGACCCGAGCACCCCTCCCCTCAGATCCCAGAGGGAGGAGAGGAGTCAGCAGGGAGGGAGAAGGAGCTCAGGACTGCTGAACACCCAGCCCCAGGATTCCGGACCAGAGCACAGACACACTGCATGCGTGCGGTCCTGCATACTAGGGAAACAGGGCGGCAGGACCAGTGAGCGGGTGCCTGAGACTGACGTCAGAGAACAAAGAAACGGGACCGTCTTTTTTTTTTTTTCTTGGGGAGAGCTTTTTGGAAGCCTTAAAGGGACACGGACCCCAATACTAGGGAAACAGGGCAGCAAGACCGGTGAGCGGGTGCCTGAGACCGGCGCCTGAGGACAAAGAAAATTGCACGTTTTTCCTTTTTCTTTTAAAATTATTTAATTTTTTTTTCTTTTGTTGTTGCTGCTGTTGTTTTGGTTTGGAGAGTGCTTTTTGGAAGTCTTAAAGGGGCAGGGCAGGATACTTAGTGAAGAGGCAGGGAATCTGGGGATATCTGGGCACTCTAACCCCCTGGGCAGGAAGGAGCACAGACGCCCCTTACGGAGATAAATAGCCTCCCGGCCGCTCCTCCTCCAACGGGGCTCCACCATTTTGGAGGAGCCGCAGGAACCAGGCCACGCCCAAAGCAACATCAGAGATAACTCCATAGCAACTTAGCAGGAAGCAGAAGCCCTGTCTGCGCACAGCTGCCAAGCACAAGCAACTAGAGGTCACTATTCTCCCAGAAGAGGAAGGCCACAAACCAACAAGAAGGAAAGCTCTCCCAGCTGTCACTCATACCAGCTGTGCAAACTATCTCTATCACCATGAAAAGGCAAAACTACAGGCAGACAAAGATCACAGAGACAACACCTGAGAGGGAGACAGACCTAACCAGTCTTCCTGAAAAAGAATTCAAAATAAAAATCATGAACATGCTGACGGAGATGCAGAGAAAAATGCAAGAGCAATAGGATGAGATGCAGAGAAAAACGCAAGAGCAATGGGATGAATTCTGGAGGGAGATCACAGATGTCAGGAAGGAGATCACAGAAGTGAAACAAACCCTGGAAGGATTTATAAGCAGAATGGATATGACGTAAGAGGACATTGAAGGAATAGAAACCAGAGAACAGGAACATATAGAAGCTGACATAGAGATAAAAGGATCTCCAGGAACGAAACAATACTAAGAGAACTATGTGACCAATCCAAAAGGAATAATATACGTATTATAGGGAAACCAGAAGAAGAAGAGGAAAGGGATACAGAGTGTCTTTGAAGAAATAATTACTGAAAACTTCCCCAAACTGGGGGAGGAAATAATCTAACAGACCACGGAATTACACAGAACCCCCAACAGAAAGGATCCAAGGAGGACAACACCAAGACACATAGTAATTAAAATGGCAAGGATCAAGGACAAGGAAAGTTTTAAAGGCAGCTAGAGAGAAAAAGGTCACCTATAAAGGAAAACCAATCAGGCTAACATCAGACTTCTCAACAGAAACCCTACAGGCCAGAAGAGAATGGCATGATATACTTAATGCAATGAAACAGAAGGGCCTTGAACCAAGGATACTGTATCCAGCACGACTATCATTTAAATATGATGGTGGGATCAAACAATTCCCAGACAAGCAAAAGCTGAGGGAATTTGCTTCCCACAAACCACCTCTACAGGGCATCCTACAGGGACTGCTCTAGATGGGAGCACCCCTAAAAAGAGCACAGAACAAAACACACAACATATGAAGAATGGAGGAGGAGGAATAAGAAGGGAGAGAAGAAAAGACTCTCCAGACAGTGTATATAACAGCTCAATAAGCGAGCTAAGTTAGGCAGTAAGATACTAAAGAAGCTAACCTTGAACCTTTGGTAACCACGAATCTAAAGCCTGCAATGGCAATAAGTACATATCTTTCAATAGTCACCCTAAATGTAAATGGACTTAATGCACCAATCAAAAGACATAGAGTAATAGAATGGATAAAAAAGCAAGACCCATCTATATGCTGCTTACAAGAAACTCACCTTAAACCCAAAGATAAGCATAGACTAAAAGTCAAGGGATGGAAAAACATATTTCAGGCAAACAACAGTGAGAAGAAAGCAGGGGTTGCAGTACTAATATCAGACAAAATAGACTTCAAAACAAAGAAAGTAACAAGAGATAAAGAAGGCCACTACATAATGATAAAGGGCTTAGTCCAACAAGAGGATATAACCATTCTAAATATATATGCACCCAATACAGGAGCACCAGCATATGTGAAGCAAATACTAACAGAACTAAAGAGGGAAATAGACTGCAATGCATTCATTGTAGGAGACTTCAACACACCACTCACCCCAAAGGATAGATCCACCGGGCAGAAAATAAGTAAAGACACACAGGCACTGAACAACACACTAGAACAGATGGACCTAATAGACATCTATAGAACTTTACATCCAAAAGCAACAGGATATACATTCTTCTCAAGTGCACATGGAACATTCTCCAGAATAGACCACATACTAGCTCACAAAAAGAGCCTCAGTAAATTCCACAATATTGAAATTCTACCAACCAATTTTTCAGACCACAAAGGTATGAAAGTAGAAATAAATTCTACAAAGAAAACAAAAAGGCTCACAAACACATGGAGGCTTAACAACATGCTACTAAATAATCAATGGATCAATGAACAAATCAAAATAGAGATCAAG